GTAGAATGAGGAAATAGAATTAAAATCTAGAGTGGCAAACTCAAATGTTTTCAGAGTCTAGGCAAGCAATGTGTCAGTGAGTTGGAATGAAAGAACATAGAGTGGTGTAGCCTGTGGCAAAATGAAGGGTTCAAACAGATGTAGATGTTTTTTAAAGCTTGAGCTTTAAGATGCTCCAAGATTCTGGCTCCAAATTTCCTTGGTATAGCTTGGTATAGTATAAATCAGTGGTTTTCAACCTTTTTCATCTCATGGCACACATAAATTAATTATTAAAACTGCACAGCACACCAGGAAATATATTTTTTTGCCTACCTGGCAAAAAATAGGTATAATTTTGATTCATTCACACTGGATGGCTATTGTTGTGTTGGCTGTTGTCATTTTTTTATTTGACAGTCTAAGGGGTAAGAGGTCAGCGGCCCTAACTAAATAGTCAGGTATTGCATGTTTTAAAAATTCTTGTGACACACTGTTTGAAAATTGCTAGTATAGATCAAAGAATCTTAAGCAAACTTGACACTGTTACAGGAACCAAGCTTATTAATTAAAATGCCATATTTGAGTATAAATCAGAAGTCACCAAAAAGAGAGTAAATTTTCTTAGAAGTAAATCTATATTGCCCTCTAATAATAAATATGTTAATGCTTGGGAGTTTTAGAATCAGTTGTGGCTAAAAAATAAGGAAGTTGAGTTAAATGACAAGTACAGCCAGAGGCCTATCCTGATGACTCCAAGAAAGCAGATGGGAGTCATTATAGCAAGTGTGGAACATTTCTTTTTCTCAGGCTAACAATGGAGAATTTCAGGGAGGCCTCTGGCATTACTAGATTGTAGATGTTCTGGGAGAAATTTCAACTTTGCATTGGAAATTGGGGTTGCAGAATGAGTTCATCCCTTCCCATTGGGAACAGAAAACCATTGAACAGCACTTATGCAGAATGAATTGAAAAGTAAGGGTGTCTTGTTAGCCCCTTAACAAATAGGATTACACACTCCCTTGAGGAATGAGATACAGGTTACAGCTGCTTTCTTTAGAAGATCAGTAAATTATCATGCATCCTAGAGCTGAAAAAATTCTAAAGAAAAATGGTGTTTATTAGTCTGAAGTGTCAAGACCATGCATCCAGTTAATCCTCAAACAGGATTTGAGTCTTAAAATGAAAAGAATCTCATCAGACAGAGCTATAGGTTCTTTGAAAGAGCTATAATCAGTAGTCAGTCAGGTATAGACGGCTCCATCGGTGCCTAAAGAGACTGTGAATTCCCTAGACCACAATGAGGAACAAGGACATACATGACAAAAAAGATAGCATGTTGTCTATAATCCATGCGCCAACCTTGGGCATTTCAAATCCCCTCTCTTCTAGACTTCCCCACTAGTGTGATGTGTGTGATGAGAATTTATTTCTGGTTGTCTAGCAGATAATATTGAGACATACTTGCATGCTCGTGTGCCCACACACCTCAGGACTTCTGAGTCAGTTTTGTACAGTACAGTCGACGTTCTTACTGAGGAGGGAAACATGTCCCTAAAAACAACATAATCAGCCACGAGAGTAGCTCTTTACATCATCAGACAAGAGCAGCATAAGATTCCTCTCATCCTGATTTTGTACAGATCTTGAACATAGCATCTTTTTAAGGGTGGGATTTTATTAAAGTCATCTACACATGACAGAAGTCTTAAAATTCTGCTTTCTCCCACATGACTTTAGAGTAAAGTGGAAGAGTAATTTTATGATCCACCAACCAGCACCAGTCGGGGTGGAGGAGTGATTTTCCTTCCCAGTCACAAGTGCGTGATAGCATAAAAGGGCCTTGCCCTCGGACACTGACAGGCTGGGAGGTGGGCAGGGCCCAAGCCAGAAGGTGGCGCACTCTACCAAGACGTGTAAGTCTGGGATTATCCACTCTCCCAAGAAGAAATTGATTTAGAAAATTGATTGGCCTTCCTCTGGAAAACCAGGACAGATGTATCATCCCCAGTGCCCTTCCCATTGCTACAAACACTTCTAAGAGTTCCCATCATTCAAAGGTAGTGATGATCTGTTTAACAGATGCTCCTCCAGCCCTTCTCCCCTACCCCCATCTGTGAAACTGAAACCTCGTTTCTTATCTCCGTATCACCGGAGCTCACAGGGTACCTGATACACAGGCTTTTAGAATGCCGAGTGCCCAGAATGGGTTGGATTTGAGCAGAAAGCTACTGTGGAGGGGAGGCCTTGGAAAGTCCACTCCAGCCATGGTCAGATGGGAAATACTGACCATAAGGCCACAGTTCTTTCTAGAAAGGAGACCAAAGAGGAAGGCACTGATGGTGTGAGGCCTGAAGGAAGCTCTCCACCAGTCCTCCCGTGGCTAGATGTGTGTATTCTAGTTCGTTGTTTGCCGGAATGACTTGCCTTTTGATTGCGAGTCTCTGAGGAAATGATCTTGCTTTTTAATCCCTGGGTCCCAGGAACACCTCCCGCAGTGAGGGCTGTCGCCCAGCAAAGAGCTGTTCAACCCCTGGGAATGCCTGTCCTAGGCGGGCAAGTCAGAAGCAACACACAGACTTTCTCAGGGGCAGAATCATTCCAATCTAGAGCAAGTAACTAGGGAGAGTTGGGCTGCTCTGGGGTCCTTAATGTGGCCTTGCTCCTGGGCTCCACCCAGCTCAGTTGCCTGAAATGTCACTCTAAACCAGTTTCACTCTGAGCCCCGAGAACACTCTCTGCTCTGTCACACTAAGCCTGGCAGTCGGCTCGGGCCCTCAAGCTGTTCTGACAGGATTCCCTTCCCAGCGCCTCAGTGCTGCTCTGGACACTCATTCTTCACCAATGCTCACTGGGGACAGCCACGGTGCACAGCATGGCTAGGACTGCCTAAACCCTGCTGCCAAAGAACTTCCCTCACTCACACGCACTTTTCCCTCTTGCATTGTTCATTCTGTGACCCCAACACATTGGCCCTCTCCAGGGATGAGGATTTATGTGTTCACTTCCCTGAACTCCTAAGAACAAAGGCATCTGATAGCTCTAAGGAGGTGGTCATGGGCCCCCTTTCACTACATAGACTGAGAGCCTGAACACCAGTCACCTTATCTGGAACTTCCCTCCTCGGGGAGCCTGAGAGGCTCATCTGGCCTCCTCTGGAGGGAGGATTGAGCTGTGTGGTCTTCACTTTCCCTGCCTGCTCCAACTGTCCAGGACTCCAAGTGAATCAGAACATCATCTTCTTGACCCCCGAAGTGACCCTAGACTAGGGGTCAGCAAACTTTTTCTGTAAAGGGTCAAATAACAAATATTTAGGTTTGGCGTATGATAAAGTTTCTGTTGCAGCTACTCTAGTCTGCTCCTGTGGCGTAGAAAGGGTCATAAACAAGAGAATGAGCATGGCTGCATTCCAATGAAACTTTGTAGACACTGAAATTTGAATTTCATGTAATTTTCATGTGTCATAAAATAGTGTCATTTTGATTTAATCATTAAAAAATGTAAAAATCACCAGTATTCAGGGTTGTGTTGCTGACTATGGTTATCAGTGTGTGCGTTAGCTCTCTAGACTTATTTATCCTACATTTGAATGAAGAAGAAAAAAAGTAAAACTCATTCTTGGCTTGATGGCTGTACAAAAACAGGAAACAGGCCGTGTGTGCTGCCCCCGTTCCAGACCTCCAGGTCAGACAGGTGAGTTCAAGTCCTGCCTTAACTGCTCACTGTGTAACCCTACGCACACTAAAGTTCTGAGGCCTGAGACTCATCTGCATAATGGAGATCTTATCTACTTTGATGAGAATTAGAAGTCAGTGCTTAGTGAACAGTAGGAACTCCTTTTGCAGGCAAGTTTCAGCCTGAAGTGAGCATTTGATATGCAAGGACAGAAGCAGCTTTCTCTCCACTCTGCCAGAGCCTATCACTATCACCAGGGTGACAATTTCCAGGACTCAGGATACAGGTTTCTGTGTAAAATAGTTGAACATCAAAAGGTTAAGTGAGGACATTCTCCCTCAGGAGGTTCTGTGGCTCTGGAATATGCTGGCTCCACAGAGCGCAAGGAAGCCAGCCTTGAATGTGGAGTGACAGGTCCCGCCTTCCCTGCACAGGGAAGACCACAGATCACAAGAGGCTAACTAATGAGAAGCCTCAGGCATGGCTTCCATTTGCTTAGAGACTGGGTTGATGCTGCTGATACTTTGGCCAAGATCCAAGAGTGGTAACTACACCCTGTGACAGTTTTCCAAGGAGGTGGGAGACAGGGTCCCCCCCCCCCCCCCCAGCAAGTCCTCATTCTCGCCATCAGTGGCTGCGACGATAACCTGGGCTGGAAGTGACTTGGATTATCTTTGCAGCTGCCACACCTCTTCTGTGGTAGGGGGTGGTTCGCCCGGGCAGATTCTCCTTCCGAATCACTATTGGTTCTTGTTGCAGGTTATCTAAAGGCACGCAGAAATGTTCTGAACGCTCTACTGCGTGTTCTCGTTTTCACTTAAAAATGTATCTATTTGCATAAGGGGGAAATGCTAGGACAACAGATCAAAATAACAGTAGTTACCTCTTGGTAGTGAGGAATGTAGGATTTCTCTTCCTCCGCCCCCAAGCATATGTATAACATTAGAGAAATCTACAGACCAAGTGGGGGAACGGGGGATGGATGTGCTTCGTGAAAGGTGGGAACTCGATAAATGGGCCTTCCTCTTGCAGTTAAGGTTCAGCCTGAAAATGAATGTTTGGTATGCAAGGCCAGAAGCAGCTTTCACTTGGCTCTGGGAAAGCCCATGGTCGCTGCAGCAGGCCCAGATGAGGCGTGTGTCGTAGAGAAAGGCGTTCCATCCTCTGCAGGAGAAAGGGCACCGGGACCCCTGGGCACTGGGCAAGGCGTCAGCAGTAGGGATGCAGGTGAGAGATTCTCCAAGGGTGAGAAACTCACGGGCCGCCCACCCAGCACCACCAAGGGAAGCCATCCAGGAGGGCAGAGACATTTTTATTGCACCCATACTAAACCACAGACATAAATCTTTAAAAGGTAGTACCATTTTATTTAGTGTCATAGGAAATTTTCGGTTACTTCTTAAGAACAAAATCAGAGATATTCAAAATTCCCAAAGTAACAAAGCAGGAAAAAACTCTATAATCCAAAAACACTGGGCGATCCTTCGAGAGTCGGAGGGAGAGAGAAGTCAAGTTAGTAGCTCACATAACAGACACTGAGAAACCACAGAGTTGAGGTTGGTCTGGACACTGGGAGATTTCATTCTCCACCTAAGACAATTAATCTTTCAGCCCCGAGGGATTATTAGTAGTTCTAAAAAAGAGAGAAGAGTCAGCTGGGAGAAGGGACCCAGTAAGGAAAGATCCTGCATAACGTAACACTCAGTTGCCTCTGGCCCTTAGCACAGCATATGTCTGAGTGTCACAGACCTTCCTCCCTCGGTGCCCTTCTGGGGTCCCCCTGTCAGTGGAGCTGGGACCACACGCACGCACCCATTGGTACGTGCATGCAGGCACACACCTCTCGGGTCAACAGCTGCTCCACGTGGCCAAGGGCAGACTTTCTCCTTCGCCATTCTGCTGCCCTGATAAGGTTAACCCAGAGGAATAAAAGGGAAGGACAGGACACCTGTCAAAGTCCAAGGAATGAGATGACATGAAACAACCAAGCAAAGAGTTGACATTTTTTTCATGGAGCCGACCTCCAGTTGAAATTCACTGCCAAGTGTTTGGCGTTTAATCTGATGCTTCCCGAAAGTACTGACTGTTCCTTCTGGAGGCAGCTCGGCAAGGCCGAGAAGAGAGCCGCCCCTGCTTCTCCGGAGCACAGCCTCCGCCCAGGACCCATCCATTGGATTAGCATTCACAGCAGCTGGGACGTTAGCACTCGAGTCCCAGTTCTCCTACAGGTCGGGCACGGGTCTCCAGGCACAGGAGTCCCCGTGCTCCCGCTCAACAAGCCCTGCTAATGGCTCAGAGCAGGCTAAAGCTTTCCTTAGATAAATTCCTCCCCAAAGCAGAGTCCTCAGGGACGGTTATTAACTAATGACCTTCAGGCTAGCCACTTTGAGAGATACAGGAATACTGTAAGTTGAACTGTTTTCCCCCAGCAGTGGTAGAAACCAGACACCCTTGAAGTAAATTGTCCTTCATTCTCCAGAGTTCCCAAGTGGCGTTTCAGAGCACAGGAATTCGCTCCTCCGCCCAGACGTCCCTCTTACACAGCGCCCAAGGTACACACCCAAGGTCCTAGCAGCAACCTCCAAACCCAGCAGCCCCGCTGAACAGCGCGGATCTCCGCGCCAGCTCTTCAAGGGAGAAACCATTCAGAGCACGCCTGCCCCCCAGTGCACTTGGGTTATCACAGTCAAAATACATTTATGTCAAGTAAAAAACATGTTGCAGAACAAATATATACATGTACATTTTCAGAATTCAAGTGAATATACAATTCTCTTTGTAGGCATGTAAATAAGTTTCATAGCACTACAAAAATACAAGTCATCTGAGAAGTTTACAATGGTCCCCAGTACTGTAGGAATGAATTAAATAAAATAGTTATAGATAATTAAAAGCTAATTAGATAAATCAAGTTACAGTATCATCCTTCAGATTAAAGTGCTCCAATATCACTAAGGTTGAAGCAAACATGATTTTGAAAAGAAATTCTACTGCCAACAGTCTTGCCTCTTAACCTCAATATAACAAGAACACACAAAGAAGAGGCTCCCAGTTTAACACTTGCTAGTCCTGCCACCCTGGCCCACCCCAGCCCACCCCGGTCCACCCCGTGGGCTGGCGATAGTCCTCCCCCAGGGGGAGAGGTGGAGATCTGATGAGAGTCTGTCACAGCCAGGAGAAAAAAAAGGAGTAATACAGAACCCTTCTAATTCCAGTATTAGGTTACTAACAATGAAACTATCTGAGGAACCTGAGCTGGCACATTAAGAAGAGGACAAGTGTCCTAATTTTTAAAAATGTGTGTGTCAATCTAGTTTTTAAAATGCATCAATCCCAAAATAAGTATCATCTTCTTGCTCTTTACAATCTCATAACAAGGGAGAGAAATGCCAGGAAGAGGCGCCCAGGAAACCGGGGAGCTGAGGCACAGGGGCAGAGGTCACAGGAACCCCACTAAAATCGTTCCGTACCCGGTGCAGCCATTTCAGTAAGCACGTGGGGCGCCCAATCTCTCACCAAGGCACTGACCAGGCCATGCTAGCCAGCGGGGGCCCTGCTGTCATGCAAGGACTTGGACCAAAACCCCCCAAACTGAGTGCAAAGTGACTCTCATTCCCCTCGTTCTCTTACACTTCTCCAGGGCCTGAGGCCCTATACAGAGCACACTGTAAGGCTAGAAAGTAGTGGAAGCTGATGTTTAGAAAAGGCACCTTGTTCTAAATCTACAAGGCATGCTCAAAGGCTTTCCCTGCTCCAGTCCAATCAAGACCAAGTCTAAGAAGCCTGTGAGGTTGACGTGGTATCAAAATTTAGCATCTGCAGCCAAAAAGCCACACCTGAGCTACTCAACAGCCAAGAAAGGATGTGTAACACAGCACCTTCTCATTTCACCCCAAGCATTAGTGATGGGGGATACGTATTTTAGAATCTCAACATCAAAGAAAGGAAACCCCAATGTAGAAAATCTATTGATACCCCTGGCACCACGTGAATCTCTGGGCCAGGATCAGATCTTATGACCATGTCTTTGGTCCGGACATGAAGTATTTACAACATAAGGCACAGTGGCATTTAAAAATAACACCCTGGGAATGTACAGTAAGAGATTCATTGTAATAATTAACTGGGCTCCTGGCAGTAGGACTGACTCTTGCCAGATGACACACAAGGGAGATGGGGACTTGGAGCCTGTGTGCTAGTTATCAGGCACACAGAGTCCTTGACCTCGGGAGGAGGTGGAAACAAACGCACAGAAAAGTCTCAGTGTCGTTCGTTCGCCGGCCTTTCACATCTTTCCTGCCTTCTTGCCGACCTGAGCCGGAACTCGGAGGATGTTGGGGGTCTCTTCCATGACCCTGACTAGCAGGTTGTCGATGTAGTCCTCCAGCTCACGAACCTGGAACTCTTTCTTGCTTATTGTTTCCTTCTGTTTGAGGACCAACTGGATCAGCTCATCGTGGGTTAGCTGTGCATAAGCAAAAGCAGGGTCCGAGGGGGTGTATTTCTTTGGAGAAGAAAGAAGGGGGGAGAAAAAGAGATAAAGTCAGCAAAGAAGTCTAAATATCTAAGAGAAATACAAAAGAGGGGCTCAGTGACCGTAACCCGACGCTTGGGAGGTCAGAGTTCAGGGAGGTTCAATGTGCTCTCTGAGCTGGACGAACTAGAAACCACTGCCACACAGGTGATCAGACGAGCTTCGAAGACAGAGTGTCATCTGAACCAGGCCTTGGAGGTGAATTACAAGTAATTTCCTTCCCAGAAAACAGGAGTTTGTTTTTAATTATAAAGGGAACATTTGCTCATCATTGGAAATCTCAAATACGGAAGAAGGAAAAAAAATTATTACCTATAACTCCAACATATAACATTTGGGTCTCTTTCTTATTTTCCCTTGGTTTCTTTTTGGTATGTTTTACAACTTTAATATCACACAAAATATAGTTTCATAGCTTCTTTAACTTGCTATTTTGTGAGTCTTCTCCCATCAAATTTTAGCAAAAATTGCTGTTGTAATGGATGCTTAAAATTCCATTATATTTTAACCATCTCTCTCAATTGTATAATAATTGTACAATTGTATAATAACATTTTAATTAATATTTATTAACATAAATCTTGGTCATATCTTTAAACATTTCCTTAAGATAAATGCATAGGATTAAAAAGGCATACACTTAAGGTATTTCACACAAACTGTCAAACAGCTATTCAGTTTAGATTCTGTAATCCAAAGGGAAAAGTATGCAGGACTTTGAAATCATTAGATTCTAGGAATGTGATGACCTTAAAAACTATAAGACGATTTAGCATTATGGAAAGTGCGCAATGGCCATGAATGGGAAGAGATTCAAAGAAAATGCCCATTAGCTCAGAAACAACAGTGCCCAATATCACATATTCCCCCAGGATTTTTACATTGGGTTTTTCCCCACACAGTTGTAATAATAATGATGTACATTCAAATGGTGGCCAACTTTTTCCATGGGACAGATGATTTTCGGATGTAGCTGGCTGTATTATTTTTAAAGGGAAGTGTCAAAGCCACCTGAGTAAATAATATACCCCTAGTTATAAATCATCTATAACAGATGGAGGCCCTAAGAAAAATACCTCCCCCCAATCCAATATAGTAATGATTCAGCTAGCTTTTCATAGCTGTAACTATGCAATGTCTTTCTTTAACCTGTCTTACTTTGCAACATTCCAAAGAGTAATTCTTTTGATAAGTATTGTTTTTGCCTTAGTGCAAAGCATCTAACATATGGCCAGCCAAGAGCAGTCTCAAGGAAACTTTCGATATTTGCTCCAAGTATTTACTAGGTGTGGTCCAGGACCAAGAGCTTTGCTGCAGGCAGGTGGGGGGACAACAGCCAGGCTTCCAAAGCATGAGCAAACCAAGCAGCAGTTGCCTTTGTTTTAAGAGTTATTCTCTCATCAGGGCCAGGAGATAAGCCCCTGATCAAACAAGCTTTGAAGAGTAAATACATGGGGAGCCAAGGGTCTTTCTGGCCCGCTTCCTGAAAGTTAGGTGTTGTTTCTCTTTGGAGCCAAGCTGCATTCCACAGTAAAAGGAAGAGGACATGGGAGGTCACTAAATGACTTTAGTTTTCATCACCTTCATGCTGTTCTTTCGCCCAATTTCCTAGTAAATATTGTTAACTCCAGAAAGACAAATGCTGCCTCTTCTACCCAACCACAGAGGCCAGCCAAGCTGAGCTTCTGGAGTTCCAGCCCATGTTTAGGCCAGGGCTAAAACACAGTAGGTACATAGCTCTGGCTGCAGCTGGTAGTTGGGAGATAAGGCAAGATGGCTAGAAGAGGCTTACCTCTTTCCAGCCACAATTCATTATCACTACTCAATCTCTCTACCTGCAACTCAGATCTCCAGCTTCCAGTGAAACCTCAGCCCGGCCCCTGGTGGCGCAGGTACAGTGTGCTCAGAGGCATTAACCACCACCCGGCACTGTCAACATGCTTGCAGGGGGGAAGGAGACGTGAGCAGAAAGCTTTACTTTAAAAACACAAAAACTCTCTGACGTCCTAGAGTCCACGGGACTGTAAAATCTATGGCTGAATGAAGCTTCGAGATGCCATGAATAAAAATAAACTTTATTTCTTACAGACTACAGTCCCCAGGGGTCATTTAGGTAATTCCTCTCCACACATTTCAAACACAGTGCATCCTTGCCCACTAATGGTCACCAGTCACTCAGGAAGTCATTCTCCTCCAGAGCATGTGACAATGAGTCAAAGACCAGAGGTCTGCCACAGGGCAGGATTCTAAATCCTTCCGATCTCAGTACCAGGAAGGGCAGCATGCAGACACTCCAGGCAGAAATCATCTGGGAGGTTGATTTGTTTTTGTAGCCAGTTTTGTTTTGTTTTTTTAAATGTTAGCTCAAGGTTTTTAAAGAGAAGAGAGCCTCTAATTTAGCAATATTCTTCCAGGAAACTGAGCTTAAGGAAATAATCTAAAGGAAGGAAAAAAGTTCTATGCAAGAAATTGTTCACTGTGGTATTACTCATCTTGCAAAACAGAAAACATTTTGTAAAGTTGTAGAGCTGAAATTTATGTAATATTATTAACCAATGTTATCTCAATAAATTTAATTTTAAAACAGAAAACAACCTAAATTTCTAATAATTGGGAAATGGTCAAGTGAATATTGGCATAACCATTTCAAGAATAATTAAGTAGCAATGTGCAAAAAAGGTTAGGATGCACTATTGGGTGAAACATAACTGAAGAGTGTTTCCGTGCAGTGGATGGACCTGGAAATGGAAATATCACCACTTTGCAACCATCATATCCATCAACGGATGCTAAAGCCTGTGAATCAAAGGTTGACGAGGAACAGGATGTTTATACAGTCTGAAATTAATTCCCCACCCATTTCTTATTAATTGTAAAGGGAAAATTAGCAACTTCACACTTGAGAACCTGCGTGGACACCACCTAGACTAAGTCATTCCAGTTAGCACTGCCCTGGCAGGGTGGCTCGGCTGGTTAGTGTGTCGTGCCGGTTTGCCGAGGTTGTGGGTTCCATCTCCGTCACGCGCATCCAAGGATCAGCCAATGGAGGCATAAGTTAGTGGAACAAGACATCCATGTCTCTCTCTCTCTCTCAAATTAATAAGTAAAAATTTTAAAAAGAAATCAATTGTGGAGTTAACACTCCCATGGCTGCTACAAACTGATATAATGTGCCTGTTTATACAATACACTGAGAAGGACCCACTGTTTCTATAGTTAATTCCTGCCAAGAGTGTGTAACCTCAACCAAACCATGAGGAAGCACCAGGCAAATCCAAACTCAGGCAAATTCTACAAACAACTGATTTACACTCTTCAAAGATAGAAATGTCTTGAAAGACAAAGAAGGCCAAGGAACTATTCCAGAACAAAGAAGGCTAGAAAAAACTACACATAATGAGTGATCCTGGATTGGATCCTGGACTGGAGGGAAAAATTACCTTAAAAAGGACATTAGTGGGACAATTGGTGAAACTGGAATATAGACTATAAATGATAAAAGAGTATCACATTAATGTAAAATTTCTTGATTTTGATAAATATCCTGATCTTAGGACATTTATCCACACCGAAGTATTTAGGGGTAAGAGAGGCATGATATAAGCCACTTAGTCTCAAATGGTTCAGGAAAAAAAAAAACCTAAATATACAAAAAGAGAACAAAGCAGGGGTGGGGAGAATGAAAAAGCAAATCCAGTAAAATGTTACCAGTGGTGAATTGGGATGAAAGGTACATAGGACTTCTTTGTACTATTCTTGCAACTGTTTCAAAATTTGAAATTATTTCAGAATAAAGTTACAAAAGCTGCACATATCTGTGCAATGATTACAACTATAAAAATTTTATATCCTTGCCAAAAGATAAAAAAGGATATAGGACAATGAAAATATCTCATTTGAATGGGTCTGAGGGTGCATGACATCTTCTTGTTAAAGAGAAGTGCCGATGTTAATTGCATTGCTTGAGACACAACAAATTCAACAATAACCACATAACCATAAGGGAAAAGTATTACTCAGTGGCAGGTACAGGGACTTCCAAAGATTATCCAAAGACAGGAGATGCATGATTAAGTCACTCCTGGCGTTACCCACTGCCCGAGGAGCTGTATACAATGGTGATTCTAGATATAAGGGGGTTTTTTTAGATCCCTAATTAACACGTCCATTTCTTGGAGAAGACGTACCTTCATTATGGCTTCGTTGATCAAGTTCTCACTGATGATAGTGGCAGTTCCCAAGCTGGAGTTAGAAGTCTTGGTGGCTGTCGTGTTCATTGGCTTCACAGGATGAAGTCTAAAGAGAAGGGAGAAAGGATCCTTAGACCTTTCTGTAACCGCAAACTGAGACACTGCCCATTTCAAAGACGGCAGCCGGCCAGGAGGACAAGGGCGGAGAGTGGCGAGACGCTCTGTTCTCCTCTCCAGGCTAACACACGCCAACGTCCCTGAGGAAATGAAAGCAGTTGGCAGCGGGCAGCCATAGGCGAGCCAGCAAAGCACACCCCTGGCGCCAGGCGTGCTGACATTCCCACAAGCCCCTCGTCCTTGTCATCGATGTCGGGAGAACATTAAAGCCGATCTCTTATTTTGGGAGGCGACTGCAGCCTAGCACTCCACTGTGGGCGTCCTTGCAAAGCCTTCCGCTCCTCAGCAGTAAAGTAAAGAAGGAGTTCAGAACAAACATGCCAGCTTCACACTGGGCGGTGCAGAAAGGAGGCTTTAAAACACTGCTTGGTGCTACCACTCGACCTCAGTTGGCTTCTGACACTATTAAGACACTGGCTGTAGTACATCTATGCTATCTGAGGGATCCAAGTCTGACCGTGCAGAATCAGCCCTAAACTATTTTTGAAGGCTACCACTACATTCCTGCTACAAACACAGGAGTTTATAGCAAGATCGCTCTTGAGGTATTCCCAGCACAGGAGATAACCCTTTTAAAACAGGCCCGACCAGCAAAACAGGTGGGCGCCTGCCCCATTAGGGCATCCGTGCAGTTAGAAAGCCATAGTAACCTCCATAGCCTGCCATAATAACAGGCAAAAGGCAAAGCGGGGCACGGCTCACAGGTATGAAGACCATCTCCCCCGACTCTCACCTGTGCTTGGCTGACCCAGTTCCAGCTGAGACTGGATGTGTCTCCGAGGGTGAGACCCAGGCCTGAAGAAGCGGCTTCCTCTTGCCAGAATTTTCCACTTTACCAGGGAGGCCCTCTGCTGTTGCTTTTATTTGAGATTCTGCTGCACTGGTGTGGTGAGTGTCAGAGTGCGGATAGCTGGGGCAAGAGTGTGTGGCGGGAGAGGGCTCGGAAAAGGAGGGGCTGGAGACAGCAGAACCCAGGGCCGAGTCAGGAGGCTGCCTTAGCCTCCCGTTTCCCATCAGTTTTTCCTCCTCGCCATTGCCAGGGCCTGGCAGCTGTGTATCCGAGCCGGAGCTGCTGCCAAGATATGGTTTACGAATTCCTGAAGCTGCACTCTGCTCTGAAGAAGCCCTAACAGATGCTTCAGCTGCTTTCGACCTGAGGTCATGCAGGCTGCCCGTGGGCACCGCCAACCCGGCTGCCTCGCCACTCGGCACCTTCTCGGGATGGGCAGGCCAGGTGCTCGAAGACGAAACGCCCACTTCCAAAGTCACCACCTTCGCTGTCTCTCTGTCATCTTCCACCTCATCTACTCTCTCATCGTCTGACGTGACTTCAGGGATGGAAGGAAGGGTTAAGTCCAAATCAGCCGTGACTGGGGATTGAACATCTGAGGCAGACTGAAGGTCACTCATGGGATCAGATAACAGACCTTCATGGTCACTGGCTTTGCTCTGATTTTGAGCCATAAGAGTATAGTCTTCCTCAGTCCTAAAGAGTGGAATGTCTTTCCCTGGGCGTGGGTCACACACTGGGCCTTCTGAGACGCTCTTCTCATTAGAGAGGAAGGGGAGATGATCGGCCATGGCACCTGGCACACCGGAATCCAGCGGCCTGGGTTCAGGCACAAGTTCCCCCTCGGAGTCTTCTGCATGGCGCGGCTCAGCGGGCTCTCCGTCAGACACACTGCAGGGGGCGGCCCCTTCACACCTCAGCTCCTGGGTGCTACTTCCATCCTCCTCCACCCGTCCAGGGGACTTCTCCACCGCCTCTTCTGTAAAGAGCTGCTCGGAAAATGACACGTGCTTCTTGGGTTTTTTCCAGCCCTCATCCACACTCTGCCCCACCTCCTCATGTCCCCGACTCATGGAGTCGAGCGAGGAGGCCGACTCCCCCATTTGAAGAGGAGGCACTGCTGGTTTGACTGCGGAAGGCACTCCACCACCCCTAACTTTGTTCTCCTCGGAAGACCCAGGCGGACTCTCCAGGTCTGTGTTCAGCTGCATCGGAGGCTTCCTGGCTGGGCTTTGCATCCTGCCACTTCTCACTGAAAGGGCAGCTGTTACTTCCCAGGCCCCATCAGGTGAAGGGATATAGTCTTGCTGTTTTTGGGGGGGAAATCTCAGCAGTTCTTCTTGTTGCCCCATTTCAGGCTGCGTCAGGGGAGGCTTCTCTATACCATCACCACTCGTATTCTTCTCCACGTCTGTCTCCCTGGTCCTCCTCCCTGGAGACTCTTCTGACCCTTTACACACGGGAACAGGGGGCTGTTTGGGAAGTGATCCCAGGGCATGAGAAACAGTATTTGGAACTTGCGTTAAATTCTCCTTTCGCAACTCCGCTTTGAGGAGCAGAGGTGGTTCCTCAGAACCAGCCTGGCCCTGGTCGATGGAAGGCCAGCTTTTAATAGGAGTGGATGTGGAAACGGGAGCTGCTAGTGGAGGTGAGAAAGCGGAAAAGACAGAAGGAGATTCTGAGGACTGTGTCTCTGACTCAAGCCCCAGTTGGGAAGGGACAGGTATCTGACCAGAACGGGAAGGGAGAGCAGGAAAAAAGGGAAGCAAGTCAGGGGAAGAAGGAAGCCTGGCTGTGGGTTGAACCTCTGGAGACACTTCCAGTCTGCAAAAAGGACAAGATAAAATCTGCAGGTCAGTTGCAGATGCTGCAGGAGAGGCGGAAAACATGTAAAAAATACAGTCATTCAAAGGCGAGAACTTACTGTTATACTTGGGGCAGTACCTTAATAAGTTAAAAAAAGGAACACAACACCACTCAATATGCAAAAGGGACACTCGTTATCACCAAGCATATCTGCGACACAGTGGGCTCTCCAACAGAAGCAGAGAGACCCAGGTAGAGCGACAGCCTAGTTTCTTTTGGTGACACACAAAAAGCATCTAAAGGGTTCAAAGCAGTAAAAGATGCGCCACGAGCAACACGCAGATTTTGAAGAGCCACAGTCTCTGTGTGTCTGTGTGCATCTGTGTGTCCCTGTGAAATCAAAGCAAGCAGAATCTTAAAACCAAGCCTCTCCCACCCCAGACCACAGAGATGCTGGGAGGGAAGGTGAGTCATGCCGAAAAGCAGAACCGCCGGGGCTCACTCAGGCCCTCGCAACGAGATGCAGAGTAAACACAGAGAACTGTCACATGCACGCTCGAGAGTGAACCAAGCGTCTCTGATGACAGCAAACCAGTGCCACGGTGCAAGGGGGAAAGATAACATCAGCCTGGACAGGAGGTGTGTGAGAACTCAAACACAGGTCCTGCACACACAACCGAAACCTGGCATTTGCAACGTGCACCCCCCGGAATCTGCTGCACCCCGTGGCTTTCCCCTGGGTCTGATGATGGCGTGAGAAGGGCCAAGACTCACCGAGGTTTCACGGCTTTGGTCTGGGGAGCCCTGGCAGAGGTAACAAGCGGTGTCGGTTCGGGCTTGGGCCCTAGGTCAGCTTCCGGTTCTGTGAGCTGCACTTCTTCGAAGGGGTTCAGGGACTTTCCCCGCCCGGAGACGACGGCCGCTGCGTCCTCCTCTGGCCCCTTCACAAGGCCTTCCGCAGGCCCCGGCCCCTCCTCCCGAAGCACGCCTTCCTTCTCCCTCCCCGGGGGTGCAGTGGGGCCCTCGCCCTCGCTGCCCTTCGCCCCGTCCTTCTTTCCTGTCACCAGGGAAAGCAGGGAGGACTTCTTGTTCTCCTGCTTCTTGCTCTCTTTGGCTTCTTTCGCAGCCTCGGATCTCGCCGGGGCTGAGTTTTCCCGAACGTCCCCACCGACTGGAAGCCAGGAGGACGGCAGGGTCATGGATTTCGGAGAGGTCTTTGTGGAGGACTCCGAGAGCCGCTTGTCAGAAGACCCCGCGCCCGCTTCCCCGGGTTCCTTCCAAGCCCGGGGAGCCAGGTTCTCTGTGGACGAGAACAAATGCTTCTTCCTGAAGCCCTGCGGGGATGGGGAGGAAGAAGAGGCACTGTCCTTGGTCTCGGTCTTGCCTTCTGGCTGCTCCACGTAAACGTGGTTCCCATTGATACAGACGTTGGAGCGGGAAAGGGAGTCGTTCTTGGACCGCAGGCCGCCCAGAAAGGAGAGCCCTTCCTTCTTGGGCAGGCTGAAGTTGATCTGGTTCAGCTGCTTAGGATCTGCACTTACTGTTCTCTTGTGAGACATGACTGTGGGAAGAAAAACAAAGAAGAAAGGGAGTAAGTTAAACGAGTGGTTCAACACTTGGGGGAAGGGGTGGAATGTGTCCGTGTCTGAATACCTTTTTGGCTGTCACAACTATGTGGGGGTGTCCACTGGCAGCGAGCACACAGAGCCCAGCGATGCTCCCAAAGATCACACAATAGATGGGACAGCCCCCCCACAACGAAGAGTCATCTGGGCCAAACTGTGAGTAGTGCTGGAGCTGAGAAACCCTGCACTTAGCCAACAGAAAGGGCAGCACTCTTGGTAGAGTAGCAGGATCTGGACAACAGTAGGAATTTGATCATTGAAACTGCAGTTCAAGATACACAGTTAATTCAAAGTTCAGGGAACTGGATTCCTCAGCTTTTATGAGGGGCGTGTCCCATGACATTTAAGTCTAATAATAGGAGTTCAATAAATACCTGATGAATTAATGAAATATCAGTAATGTTCTATGGGTTCACCTTTAATTTAAAGGAAAAAAAAAAACAAAACCCTGGATACACTCATTCTGTGAGTTCCAGAAGTTTAAACTAATGTGCATCAGTTACAAAGTCAGGCGTTTTGGAAAAGGAATTTATACATTCCTAGAAGCCAGAGGGCTAAGGAACAGAGAAGGCTCCCTAACACAGACAATCCATCATCATGGCCACCACCGTCCCCCATCCCCATCCTAACCAATCACCATGTCATCCCGCCACTGTCGTTTTAGTAACTGAGAAGCTGAACTACAATCTTTCTCTTAAGATGTGTTTGTCTTTTCTCCCGCAAAGCAAAGGCAGCTAAGCCGAGGAAGAGAGGCCCAGCAAGGAGGAGGCGGCGGAGGCTCACCGTCCGAGGCAGAGGAGGACTCATCCTCGTCGTTGTCCTCCCAGCGGGACTGGAAGTCTCCAGGACGCAGCAGCACTTTGTCTGACTTTGACGTAGGCAGGACGGACATGGACTGGGAGAGCGGCGTTTTCTGCAAGTTAGACTTGGAAAACAAGGTCTTAAGCTTTGACTTCTTTTTCTTGTCTTTCAAAGGTGACTCATCATCACTGTCGACCGAAGGTGATGTGCTGGGGACGATGGCTGAGGCGGTGTCTGAGGCGCTGTCCTTGTTCTTCCCCTTCATCTTGTCCTTCAGTTTCCCAAACGGACTCCGGGACTTGTCTTTCATGGAAAGGTCGAACATGCTGGCGGTCATGTTGTTTCGCATAAACTGGATGTCAACCTCAATTTCTCCTCGCTCTTTCTCCTTCTTTCCTGGCTTGGATTTCAAGGTGTACCACCTACAAGGAGAAAGGCCGAGAGGTTACCTTAGGGCTGAAGAGACTAAAACAGTGTTCACAATCCCCACTAACTGGCCTTTCCTCTCTGCAGTCACCAGTCTCGCACACAAACACATTCTTGTGCTCTCTTCTTTGGGGAGACAAGACTGGGGTGGGGGATGAAGAAAGAACTTGTAGTAGTTTTATTTCTGAGGCACCATCCACTAGGCAAAGAGAAGATCTGATTCTGTACTCAGCGTATCATCACCTAATATCTTAAGTTAATAGTATTATGTCTAAAAATAAAATAAATAAACACTCCATCAAATCATGTCCTATGACTGGTGGCATTTTCCTTCAACGGGGCGAAAATGCAAAGATCGTACACAAATACACAAATAGTGAAGAAGACAGACTGCAAACTTACAAGTGAATCTCGGAGAAAAGCAAGAGCTTATAGAAAGGTCCCTGCCAGAGAGTCAGGGGAAATGTAAGACACAGTAAAGACATATAGAGATTCTATCTGCACGAGGCAACTCGAGCAGTCAGAGGCAAAGAGGCAGAAAGGGGAACGGCGGTCACAAGAGGTGGAGGGCGCAGTGAATGGGGAGTTAGTGTTTAGAGGGGATCTAGCTTCAGTCACGGCAAGTAAAACAGTTTTGGAGATGGGCGGCGGGGATGGTCGCACAACAACGTGGGTGTGTTCAACAGCACAAAACTGTGCACCTAAAAATGGTCAGAGTGGTACATTTTGTTATGTAATTTGTTTACCACAGTGTTTTTAAAGAGAAAGACTGAGAGGACGCATTCTTCCCTAGCTTAATAATCAGGGGGGAAAAAAGGGGGAGTACTTCAAACATTACTCAAGTATTTCTCTTGGTCATTTGCAAACCACTTCAAGATATGGCAAATGATATATCACTTCGACTCCACTGAAAGACCAACTTCAGAAAAAGGAGATCTGCCCACGTCATTTTCCAGCTGATGAAACTGCAAGAATGTGAACAGCATCCGTGACAGAACACACAGCTCCAAGTGCGTGACCTCCTGACAGCCAGCCCCAGGGCCACCTTCACAAACTGAGAACCCAGATCTGACTTTCTTTTCAGTGACCTATTTAAGAGCTGAGGGCCGTGGGCTTTAAGGAAATGATGGTTTTGCCCAAACAAGCACAATTTCCTCTTTCACGTTCAGCCTGCCGTGCTCACAGGGCAGAGCACTGCCCCCACTGGGGTAGCCGGCCCTACCCGTAAAGGAAGGGAGCAGAGGGAAGTAGAAATCGAACACTTAAGCACCACTGCAGCATACCTGGCATGCACACACGGAGAAACATCCTCGGGTAAGTCTCGCAAGAATGACATCTCTTTATCTCTAAAATGAGGTCTTCTACCCGTTTGACAGATAAAGAGATCGAGCCCGCAAGTGAGTACGTGGTGCTGCAAGTGCTAAGGGGCCCAGTGGGCTCCGAACCGGCTCCGCTCCGCAGAGCCCCCGTCTCTCTCGCGCACCGAGACTCCTGCCTGCACCCTCTCCTCACTCGTCTTCCGTGGGCCGCCTTCCGAAACACGCAGAGAGGAGGGCTCGAATCTAAACTCTTTTCAGGGAAAGTTTCCGCTTCTAATTTAAACGTCCTAAGATCAAAGTAGAAAGGGGAAAAACTCCCCATAGCTTGCCATTGATCCTAAACCATAAGCTTTCGTCAGGCCCAGTGTACAGAGCCATCAAGAGATCTTAACCTGCATTATCAACATCCAGCCAAGATCTGAGAAAATGACGTGAGCTCTGATTTTGGACCTTGAGGAGAAATCTTGAGTTTGTGGTTTTTGAAACCACAGTCCAAGGCTGGAGAGGGAGGTGGGGCACCGTCCTGATGGACAACGGGGCCTCTGCCGGGCCAGGGTCTGTCCAGAGCGTTCTCCAGGGCCTGGCCTGGAATCGTTTGCATATTTCTGACTCAGATGTTGAGAGGATTATTTGTACTTTTCTCTTCTGACAGTCATGTGCTAAATGGTAGCCTTGGTGATGGAGGGTGGCTAACTTTTGTAAATACCAGTTGTAGGCACCTTGAAAAGCGGAAGTTGATGAAGCTGAGTGTAAGGGGCTCAGATGACCACAGCAGCCACAGCAGAGAGTGTCACCTCCCACCCAGGGCATGTGGAGACAGGACAGACCTTCAAAGAGTACTTGACAGTTCTGGGGACCAGGCCCGCCTTTCCGAAAATATCAGTGCCTGAGGGCTGTTTACTTTGAGCAAATCTCCAGCCAACTCTAGAATCCTCCCTGAGGGCCTATTATCACCTGATGCACAGGTTCAATCCCCAGGCACTAAAGTGGGATTTGTTTTGGAAATTTCCAACACCATCAGGAGGTATGAACAGGCCCCTCACCAATGGGTCCTGTCTGCTCATTTTCACAAACAAACCAAACGCCAAGTAGCCAAGAACAGCCATCAGGCTATTTAAGAAGGTAAAGAGCAGACAGAATCAGAGGCAGGTAAGCATCCCATGCAAATGTGCAGAATTTTTAAATACCTGCGCTGGGTTTATTAGTATCTGCCATGAAGAAGTAACAAACAGCTTGAGCTAAAGCCGACCCTGTGCTGGGTTTATTAAAGCCAGAGAGGAAGATGGGAATTGTTTCTCCTATTATCAATATCATCCAAGGGATATTACATAAGTATAATTTGATAACAACAGTGGAAGTCATGATCCATAAATCACCTTATGGAATCCCCAACCAGAACATGTAACTGGGATTTAATATTTAAAACATCAATTCGATTTTAAGTGTTTCTGTTCATTTGCGTTTTAAAAAGATTTTATTAATTTAGTTTTAGAGATAAGGGGAAGGAGGGAGAAAGAGAGGGAGAGAAAGACTGATGTGAGAAACAGCTATTGGTTGCCTCTCCTACACGCCCTGACTGGGGATGAACCCACATCCCAGGCACGTGCCCTGACCAGGAATCAAACTGGCGACCTTTTGCTCTGCGGAACAATGCCCAACCCACTGAGCCACACAGGTCAGGGCTCGTTTGCTTTTAAGTTCACTTAATTCCAGCACCTTGCAGTGGTTCATAAATATTAAAGCATGGCCACAGAGCATGTGATGTCAGCGTGGGTGTGTTCAGCATTACCTTTCACGTAGGCCCAGAAACCTTGCATTATCTCAGAAATCAGGGCTGGGTTCCTAGTCCAAAGGGCAGAGAATAGAAAGAAAGCCATAATCCCAATGTAGCAAGTTTATTTTTAAACCCTGTCCTGGGAAAACCCTGAAACCTATCAAAAAATATCAAATGATCCCTTCCATAAGCAAATAATGATTTTTACCTATAATTGAAATTCAGTTCTTCAAAACTTAAAAGGATCTCTGAATACATAAGAAGTGACAGAAAACTCATATAAACTATATTTTTTAAGTAACAACAGGCATAGGCTAAAAGTTCAAATCATACAAAATGGTGTAGAAAACTGCATTTAAGTCTACACTTCTCAAAAGAAGCCTTATTAACAGCAGTAGGAAATGTGAAAAAGCATGAACTGGGCAGAGGAAGGAAAGGGGCAGGACGCAGGACCCCCCACCCCATTATTCCCAGTGGCCAGGTCGGGAGCTACTGCCCAGATGTGCACTGTCGAGTCTCCTGGGCTTTGCCATGGCCATTTCGAGAACAGATGAAACCATCCAGCCATGCCCAATTCTCAGGGTTGATCTGCCTCCGAACGTGGAGTTTCTCAAACACAAGCGGATCCCAGGGGCCTTCCCGCGGAATGCGGAATGTGAACGCGGCAGGGTGCGGGCAGTGCAGCTCCTGCTCTGGGGAAACAGGAGGCGCCGCGGACCAGGGACTGCACTTGTGAAGGACTGACTGGTATGTCTCCAAAACAATCTTTCTGCCGATGAGGCAAGCATGTTTTCCCCTCAAAACATTCCTGAGGGCAGACTCGGAGGCATGATGGTTTTACATGCTGGGCACTGGAAACACAAAACGAAGAGGCCAGGTTCTGCCCTAAAACACTTAACTGGGGGGGGCAGGGATGGGGTGGAGAGTGAGCTCACAAATGTCACAAAGTGTCTGTGGCACTGGCACAACTGCTGCCTTTTCTTTCTACCTCTGAGGCATGAAAAAATAATTACATATGAAAAGATCCTATCATTTTATCACAGATGAGAACTCACACGCAAATACAGTCGGTCAGCAGCTAGCTTAAACCCCTAGGGGCTACAAGAACCACCTACTTAGGGATCCAGCAGAATGAACTAATACTGTATCCTCGGACTGGGCACAGAAAAGGCAATGCAGAGGAAGATCCCAGCTCACCAGTTAGCGCAACATTTCAATGCGTTTGTTTAATTTCAAGGGAGCCGCGTCTATGGGTCCAGCTGGGACTCGAGGGCTAGTGGTGGGCTGCCTGTTTCCTTTCCCTCTGCAAAATCTCACCCGTGACTTGCAGCATGCGTCACCTCCACCATAACCAAGCAACGTGACTGTGCATCATGACCCAAGGGATTACGGCCCCAGGCCAGGGAAGACGCAGGAAGATCAAAACAGCACCTGACGTGGTGTTTTGAGACAGAGGACACATTCATCTTTCTCCAGTGAAGAAATTTTTAAAAAGCAGTTCCTTAACTGTCTTCCCCAGGAAATAAAACTAAGGCTGAAAATCATGTGAGGTTAGCAGCTGCGGACACCTATGAGGGTTCTGCAAAGGAGTGACGGGTAAAATGTCCAGACTCTGCTCTTGGGAGCCCAGGAGCAATGCACAGCAAACAGGGACAGAAATGTTTATGACCTATAAAACATGTGCGGTGTGTACCTTCCAGAAGCTAAGTAGTTTAACCAGTTTGTCATTGACCAAGGTGGCTGGTCATCATGACCTAACTCTGAATATGGAATTACCAACCAGCCAACTCCCCTGCCCAGGAGGGCCTTCCCCTCTGCCCACTGTCAGCTGCTGGGAAGAACTGGTAAAGCACAACAGCAGCAAATAGATCATTTTTTACCCTCATTTTAGCCGCTCTAGCAG